AGGACCAGCAATCACCATAGAGCACACACACACACACACACACACACACCACATACCACACATACCACACACACACACCACACACACACACACACCACACATACCACATATGCACACCCACACCCACACCACACACACGCACGCGTGCACACACCACACACACACACACACCACACATGCACACACACACACCACACATACCACATATGCACTCACGCATGCACACACCACACACACACACCACATACACAAACACACACACACACACACACGAAGACCACTACACATTATACCCAGTCTTTAGGACCCAGGAGTGGGGAGCAGTGTAGATGGTGCTGAGCCCCAACCCTGTCAGCACTGAAGAGCTTCCCAAAGCAGGGCCAAGGGTTGGTCCCCCCTGTGTTAGAAGGGCCCTCCTTTGTGCCAGGAACCTGACCAGCCCTGAGTTTGCATACAGAGAAGTCAAAGGCAACAGCAAATGCTGGCAGGACATTTATCTGCCTCTGACTGCTGTCCCCAGGGAGGCTCCCCTTCCCTATGGCAGGGCCCAATGAGCCCTGAGCCCTCTACTCAGGATGAGCTGTAGAGCACAGGTCTCCTAGCAAATCAGCTCCCATCTTTGCAGGTCAGTTGTAGCGTCTATCTGGGTCCGGTCTGCTGACTGTTGACATTCTCTTACAGAAGGGTCAGTGGGTTTTTACCTGAGATTCTAACCACTCCTCCAAGCCAACTGTGTGCATTCTCCCCTAATTGTCAATGGCAAACTGTCATCCATGCTGGGTGAAGACTTTCCAGGATAGCTGTTTTGGGGTCTCCCGTGATACTTTCAGTGACTCTGCCCCCATCCATGCTCTATCAGAAGCTCCATAATAAACCAGTGAACAGACATTCAGTGCATGAACTGATGATGAGCAAGTGAATGAGTGCATCTCCACAGCCACAGTGAGCATCTCACTTGGGCCAGGTGACTGGGCTGTCCTGTGGCGCATGCAGCCAGGACTTTGGCCAGATGTGGACCCAGGTTTCCAAAACAGAGATGGCCTCGCCTTGGCTCCTCCTTCTTTCCCTTTTCCCTTGGGGCATAGAAACCTGTCCAGTGACTGCAGGGCACACCACAGCACACTTCCCTGGTCTCTCCCTGCAGCCCCCTGCAGCCTCTCTTCCCTGCTATCCCTGTCTACAGGGGACCAAGGGACCCTGAGAACTACCACTCTCGCCTGCAAAAGAACAAAAGGGGATTGCCACATCTGGACCTGGTCTTAGAACTTCCATTCCAAGGAGCTGGAGAGATGGCTCCGCGGTTAAGAGCAATCACTGGCTGCTCTTCCAGATGATGGGGGTTTACCTCCCAGTGCCCATGTGGTGGCTCCCAGCCATCTGTGACTCCAGTCCCCAGATCCAGGTCCCTCTTCTGGCCTCCGTGAGCACCAGGTGTACGCGTGGTGCACAGACCTATATGCAGGCAAGACACTCAAGCACATAGAATAAAATAATGATGGTGCTTAATTTAAAATTTGTTTTGAAGCTTTTATCCCATTGGGCACCACTGAGTATTATGAGTTTGGGGTCTTTCTGTGAAGATGCTAGATGGCAGAGGTGGGAAGGATCTGAAAGCCAGGATCTGGCGGCCAGAACCATCCAGAGACTCTCACGTGCCAATGAAATCAGAATAGGAGGAAATGGAAGAGCTGCGCAATCCTCACCCCACTGACATCGTCTTCACCGCTGGCCGTGATTACAGCCATGGCCTCCTGCCCACTTCTCCCTCACCCCCTGCATCACTCCCTCAGCCTTCAAGCATGTCACCTTGTCCCCACAGCAGGACCGTCTCCTGCCATCACCTGCCTGGCCTGCTGCTTCCTTACACAGTCTCTTGCGTGGGTCTATCATGTCGCCTGCTGGAGGAGGCGCGTCACCTCATCACTCTGCTTTGTTGACTTGACATTACCCACGGCCTGACTGCTGTGTGCTCCTGGCTCTTCTTCGTGATCTGTCTCCCTGTAAGGAGGTTAGGGCGGGGACCCCTCCCGCCATCCCACTCTTCCCGTTGTGTTTCCATTGCTGTGACAAAATACACAGACAAAGCAAGTCCGAGTGACCGGCCATCCTTGCAGGGAAAGCAAAGCAGGAAGTTGAAGCGGCTGATCCCATCACAACCAGTCAAGAGCAGAGAGCAGGGAAGGCATGCACGCTTGTGCTCAGCTCGCACACACCGCTTTGGGGCTGCCCGCATTAACAACGGCATTCAAGATCAGGCAATCCCTCACTGAGATGCTCAGGTGATTCTGAGTTGTCAAGGTGACGATCGAACCCACCACACCCACTAATGTGCCCGCAGGCTTGGTGCCCTTCTTGTCACAGTAGATATCTATAGATATTCAAGGAACGAATTAAAGGATCTCTTTCATGGGCTGGAGAGATGGCTCAGTGGTTAAGAGCATTGCCTGCTCTTCCAAAGGTCCTGAGTTCAATTCCTGGCAACCACATGGTGGCTCACAACCATCTGTAATGAGGTCTGGTGCCCTCTTCTGGCCTGCAGACATACACACAGACAGAATATTGTATACATAATAAATAAATAAATATTTTTTAAAAAAGGATCTCTTTCGCTCCCTGTTGCTCCTTGGCTGCACACTGCTTCGCCACCATTCCTTTCTGTTCACTCCGGAGGTTCCTTGGCCTTGGCTCCATTGACGTGTAGACCAGGAAGACGGTCCACATGTCGATAGTACCACTGACTCCAGTTGTGAGAACCAAAACTGTCTCTAGACATAATCAAGAGTCCTGGCGTGGAGAGCACAGCCCAAGCTGAGAACGCTTGCTTGGCACTGTCTCCCTTCCCGGTAAAACACAAAGTATCCTCGGCCGCAGTTGCAGTTCCTCCGGCACAGTTCTACCATTTGACCAGCAGAGGGCAGCAAAGACCGTCCTTCTGGTAATGCGGTCTCTGCAAACATTTCCCGGTCCTGGACAGCAGGCAGCCTCTGGCAGTATTAGTCCGCTGATGGGAGCTGCCTCGCTGCTGTGTTTACACTTCTGAATAAACAAAAGATGTCCGATGGACAGAGAAGGTGCAACTGCTGACATTTTGGAATTTCCAGTTCTGTGTTTCATTCCCATTGAAACACTTTGCCTCCTTGTGCCTCCGGGGTGGTTGGCAATGCCTGCCTATGCCTCAGTTTCCCCATCTATATCCTGCTTGATCGATCTCCGTAGTATTACATGTTTCCCATGCCTCTCTCCTCAATATGTCAGCTCAGCAGTCAAGGCTGGTCCTATAGTCATTGCCCCTCAGTCTGTCAAGTGTTTGTTGACTGACTGTAGACCATGTAGTAAGTCCTCACTGGAAATCAGCTGTGAAGATGATGATGTCATATGAGTGGCATGGGAAAGATGATGTGTTGAACATGGTGCAAAAATAAGGATGTCATGTAGAGGATGATGCTGTCATGGCTCTGATAGGTTGATGATGTCATGGTGAGAGACAGTGACATCGTGCAGTTGGTGGCGTCATTGTGGTGGTTTGGATGAGAATCTCTCCCATAATGTTCGGATAACTGGTCCTCAGGTGGTGGGGCTGCTTTGGGGAGATAAGGAGGTGTGGCCTTGTGGGAGGAGCTGCGGCACTGGATGTGGGCTTTGAGTTTTCAAAAGCCCGGCCCGTTTCCAGTGACTCTCTGTGCCTCCTACTTTGGGATAAGGCATAAGCACTCAGTTATGCGTGCCGCCATGTTCCCGCCGTGATGGCCATGGATGCTAACCTGCAACTGTGAGCCCCGAGTCTAACACTTTCCTTAGAAGTCGCCATGGACAGGGTGTTTTGTCACAGTGATAGGAAAGTAACCAAGACGGTCATTAAGATATTGGAGTCACACAGGACAGTGATGTCGTCAGTGAGTGCGATGATGTCATTTGGGTGGCAATGTCTCGTGAAGTTGGTGACATCTCAGAGATGTAATGTCATAATGCTGAGAATGGTGTCACTAATAACCCCCACCAATGGCCACGAAACCCACTGACTCTGGCACCTCCTGAGTTCCTTCAACCCACAGCTCCCTGCCTCCCACCTCAGGGAGGGTCCTAGTGAGTCCTCCCTGAGCACTGCCAAGCTCCACACACACAAGAGCATCTCCCCTGAAGCCTGGGGAAGGCTGATGCCTGGCCTTCATTGGCCACAGACACAGAGGTTACCATCCACGGGGTAGACTGTGGCTTGGAGAGCCGTTCTTCCTGACTGCAGCTGCCACTTGCCCCTTCCTGTGGGGGTCCCTTGACAACCCTGGAGAAGTGTGGGGACCAACACTGCCCTGCTGAGTAGTCTGGAAGGTCTCTGGGATGAGTCTGCTGGCATTTCCAAAGTGAGCTCCCAGCCCAGAGACTCAAAGGCTTTACTGCTTTACTGCCTTTTCTGCAGAGGATTAGTCAGGACTCTTCCCAACCCCTCTACTTCTTCCCTCCTTCCCTCTCCTCCCTCCATTTGCCTCCTCCACTCCCATCTTACACCCCTACCTCACTCCCCTCCTGCACCCCTTCCCCTCCCTCCTCCACCCCTCCACTTCCTCCTCACTCCCTCCCTCCTCCACTCCCACTTCACTTCCTCCTCCACTCCACTCCTCCCCCAGCCCCTCCACGATCACACACTAACCGGAATGACCCACTCCCAGAACCTTTCCTCCTTGGTACTGGAACGCCAGAGTGTGACTTCTCCCTGGTGCTACCCACTGTGCCCTCCCTTGGTCTGTGTCCAGGTTGTATGACCCCCAAGGCAGCATCTGAGGCAGGGGAGCCCCACAGGGCCCTGAGCTTGCTTAGAGAAGTTGTGTAGGAAGCAGGATTGCTCTTAAGAGCAAAGTATGCCAGCGTTTCTGTGCACCTTTGCAGAAGTTAACTAACCTCTCTGGTCCACCTATTTTCTCATGAAGAAGAGAAGCTGATTCAAAGGTCAGGGCTGAGGAGAAAACAGAGCCAGAAAAGGCACAGAGTGGGCCGAGCCGTGGAGCTCCCAGGTGGTTAGGATTGGAGTTTATTTCAGGTGATATGGGTTCCACACACCCTCTCCTCTTGCAGGCCACCAGACACACACACACATGCACACAACACAGCAGAGTGAGCATTCCAGATAGCACAAGGGCAACAGTCAGGCGGGGCTCACCCACAGTGGGCACCGTGGACCCTCTGGCCGCTGTGAAAGGCGTTTGAGGAAGAAAAGACTGCCATTCACGGAGATGAGCCCAAAAGACTCTGGGCCTCCTGGGCTGAGCAAACTCAGATAGCCTGGTCCTGCCTCTGTCTCAGGCTGAGCACTCGCGCAGCTGCCAGGAAGGCCACTCCTGTGAGCAGCTCAGAAACAAAGCTAATCCAGCCGAGGGCCAGGGACCAGCCAAAGTGGATGTCCACCTGGTCCAGCAGGGCCCTCTCCTCCAGGAGGCAAGCCGCCTCCCGGAAGGCAGCTGCTGAGTATGCTATGTAGATGCTAATTCCAGCGAGGGTCACCGTGGCTGCAGGGAAAGACAGACCGGGACAGACAGTTAGAGCCTTCTGGCCCGCCCCTCCTCCCTACTTCACCTCCACCCAGGCCCCTCCTCCACCCTTTCTTCCCTCTTCTATCCCTCCACCTCCTTCCCTCCTCCTCCCTCTCAATCCCCCTCCTCCACCCCTCAGCTTCCTCCCCCCCTTCTAACTCCTCCTCCCCTGCTTCCTTCTGTCACCTTTGTGAAAGGCAGCCTCCTGGAAAGAAGTTACGTCAACAAGGGCCAGCTGATTGAACCTTCAGTGATATGGAGGGCTGGGCCAACCAAAGGGCCTCGAGTGTTGTCAGCGAGCCCAAGGCCTACATCTCACTGTAACTCACCTACCCCGTGGACCTATCACTGTGTGTGTTTGCAGTGTCTTGATTTACAGCTTCCTTTATTCTGTTGCTATAAAATGTTCCTGGAATTGCGTCCTCACTGCTACTTGGAACATGGTATTTGTGGAGACCTGAATCTATGCCCCCTATATTCAGTTCCAGAAAGAAAAACCACACACACACACACACACACACACACACACACACACACACACACACACATCTTCTACCCTTTTGACAAAAGAGTGGTTGTGTTCCAACAGCCTTTTCTCCTTTCCCTCTCCCTCCTCTTCCCTCATCTCCCTTCCCCCTACCTTCATCTCCCTCCTTTCTCTCCCTCACTTCCCCCTCCCTCTCCCTTCTTCCCTCCTTCTCCCCATCCCCCTCGGTTGTTCAGGACTGTCCTCCCAGCCAGACTGCTGCCATCTTCAGGAGTTCTGGACCGCTCCCCAAAGGTCAGCACAGCTGGGCTTGCAGGGTAGTGGGGGGTCATAGGACCCTCACTTGAGTATCCAGCCACCACTGTCACATGCTCTAATTACTTGTGGTCTTGGGGGAAGAGCGAGAGGATCTAGGGAGGAGGGAAGGACTGGCGGACATCATCTACACAGCCATAGGGAGTCACTGCCCATGCTGCGGGCAGACCTTCCAGTGTGCCTGCTTTAAGGCCACCCATGCTCCTGCCTGTAACCCCTCACCCACTGCTCAGAAAGTCATTGGTTCCCACGGTGAGCTTTGGTGCAATCGTACCTCATTGGGCCATGAGAAGGAGGGGTAGGTGTGGTTACACCTCTCCCAGAGAGGAACCATAGCAGCACCCTCCTGTCTCACCCTCACACACACACACACACACACACACACACACACACAATCTTTACTCCCTCATCTTTTCCTCCCTCCCTGCCTCTGCCCCTCTCCCCCTGCTGCTCAACCTGCTGCAGCTGGTTTTGGGCAAGCCTGAGCACGCAATGCCCCAGGACTCCACCGCTCCCCAGTCCCCACAGCCCAGGCCACAGTTGTAGTTTCCCTTTGAGTTTCTCTTCAGGCTGCAAATCCTGCAGAGTGGGCTCCAAACCTGCTTTTCTTTCCCCTGGCACCTACTGTGCTGGCACACAGTAGGTCTCCATAAGTTATCGATTCAGTGCTACATGGTCCAGGATGGTGACCACTGGCCACATCTGGGTTTTATTTGGTTTGGTTTGGTAGTGGTGGGGATGGAACCCAGGGCCTTACAAATGCTAGGCAAATGCTCTTACTGGGCCCATTCCAGTCCAGCCTCTGTGTGGCGTTTTACTTTGAAAGTGTCCTTAAAGGAGTAACTCAGTCCCTTCATGGTATCAACTATACAAGCTGGTTTGCCTCCAGATCAGAGTCAGCCGTCATCAGAGTCTTGCCTGAGGGTACTGATAGGAGAATTAGTCACTGAGTGACACCTTAGCCAAGACCATGAATAACCAAGGATAGAAAATGCTTCGTGTTATCTGTTCCTTCCTTGACTTTCTTCCTCCAAGGTTCCCAAGAAAATCTCTTTCCTGTGTGTGTGTGTGTGTGTGTGTGTGTGTGTGTGTGTGTGTGAGTGTGTATGTGTGTGTGTACCTACACATTCGGAAGCTGGAAGAGGATCTGTCAGTCACTCCCCACCTAATTCCCTTGAGACAAGGTCTCTCACTGAACCTGGAGCCAAACTGGGAGTTAGCCCCCTCCTGTCTCCACTCTTGAATGCTGGGGCTACATGTAATCCTACAGCCATGCCTGGTTTGTTGCAAATGCTCTTATACACTGAGCATCCCCCTCCCTCCCTCCCTCCCTCCCTCCCTCTCTCTCTCTCTCTCTCTCTTTTTGTTTCTCTCTCTCTGTTTTTCTCTCTCTGTGTTTCTCTCTCTTTCTCTCTCTCTCTCTCTCTCTCTCTCTCTCTCTCTCTCTCTCTCTCT